CCCTCCCCCCTCCCTCGCCCCCGCAGCCCCTACCCTGCTCGGTTGCTTGGACTTGGACTTGGTTGCGCGCCGACAGGAGGCGCTAGGAGAGGGCGGCAGGCCCGCGCCAGAGGGCAGAGGGCAGAATCAAGGACTGGGACCGGGGGGAACGGAGAAGCCTTGCCTGTTCGGTACGATTTGCGTGGGCTAGGATCTGAACGTGCAGCAGACCCGAACGCTACACTAGCGCGTCACATGACCGTTAGTGTCATGCGGTCTCCCGCAACGCCAGGCGCGAGCGAGAACGGGCTCGCCGGCTAACGCACGATGACTTGGCTCGCTGCATGGCCTTCGCTTGAGCCAGCCAGTCAGCGCCACTGCCGCAGGGTTACACAGGCGTCTATTGGCGGGCTTCGCGCTTGTGGCCCACCACCACTGTCGACTGCCTGCCCCCGACGCCCAATCCCTCGACCCGCATGACTTCGGCCCCAGACACCGCGCCATGAACATGCGTTGCTGAAATTGCTCTTGTCAAGCTTCGTCATCCTCTCCATTACATCCTGTCTGTGGTTGGGCGACCCATTGCCTTCATCTGCGTCTGCACCTGCACCTGCACCTGCCTATGCCTCCGCCTCCTCATCTGCACCATCGTCTGCATCATCCTCGTCTTCGCTGCTTGACCCCGACGTGTCCTCCTCGTCCGGCATGACAACGCTGTTGAGATACGTAATCTGCACCTCTCGTTAGCCGCCATCCACGCCCAATGCCTCGTCAAAGAATGCGTCTTGCGCTGTGCGGGTGACTGCACCGTCGCTTGCCTCCTACAGGGCTCTTCCTAACAAGCTGCTGCCGCTTCTGCCCTGCCCTGTCCAATCAAACACCCATACCCTCCATCTTGGACAAACGAAACTGCAAACTTACAAATGGCACCATTGCCATTACGAGCTCAGCTACTCGCTCCAACCCGCTCGTGCCGACAATTACTTCGTCTGCCACCGTACGACCAATCGTGAAGTTGCGGAGCCGCAAAAGATCAATGTCTTTGTGATCATGATCGTATCCCTGGCCCACCTGTCAGCAAACCCTATCAGGCATAGTCCCAAATGCATCCTGTCCGTTTCGTTGCTGAGCATTGAGAAAAACTGTCGACTAGCTGAGCTGTCGTCCTAACCGCTGCGCTCGGCTTATTGGATGCGGGGCGGCCTGAAACTCTAGTTGCCCTACGGCACAGCGTTGTAACGCAGAAGCTCCAGATACACCCTCCCAAAGCTTAATCCTCCCGGTTTGCAGCGGGTACACGAGTAATCCTATCATGGCTGTTGCTAACCTTAAGCCCGGATCGGCCGCCCGGACCATGGGCCAATCACAACCATGCCAGATGTGTCAGACGCAACGCTGACTTTGATGCCCCTCTGGAGATTGTTGCCAGTTTTGGAACAAAAGGTAAAATACATATCACTTACCTTGGGATTACGCTTCAAGGCGTTTGACTGGTTCATGGACAAGCTTGCAAAGGCCTTGACCGCCTTTTTATCGTCGTCCTGCACTCCCCCCAGAAAGGTTTCTCTGAAGTTGCGGTTTCTAAGGACAGATTTGATCTTGTGCGGTTTGCGATCGATGTCGTGACGAAGTTTAGCAAGAGCTGCTGCGTCTGGTTGCCAATAGCCACCACCTTACAAAGTTAGCACATGACTGCATATTTTGAAACCAAGAACACCATGTAGGGATCCATGACGCTACCACATTGCAATTGGGAACGACGAGCGTCCAAGCACAACTTCGCACCGAAGCGCACCGAACCCGCGCGCGATACCAGCGTCATCATGCGGCCCGCAGCCGAACCTCGAGGCTATCTGACATGTTACATCATCAGTCTCCAAGAGGGTAGCGACTGCTGGAGCACATTCATTGCCATGTTCCACTCGTGCAACTGGTAGCGCTACCCAATGGTACAGTGCAATGCCCCCTCGCACTGCAGATACAATAGCATTGTTACTGCTGACCAGGATTGGTACATTCAGCACAGCGGCAGCAGAATCATCTTGCCCGTTCCTGACAATAGTCGCGCAGCCGTGACAATACAGTGCATGATATTGGTCGCAAAACTCGGTAGGGCCAAAATACAACACACAGAAATTCAGCCTGTGATGATCACATGCGTATGACCATTGGCAACACATGCAGAGAACATGCATACTTAGGCCGATGGAAGACGATGGTAACCACGAGGTCAAGTAGTGTGCGGAAACAGGATCCACAACAACGCGCAGCTACACGCCATCCCCAGAGCAAGGAGCTAAGGAATGTGAACATACCTACAAAACTTCCACCTTTTGGCTGCACCTGTATGTAGTAATGCGCATAGGGTCCCTTGCGTCCAGTTCTTGACCATGCCGCGGAGAAGTAGGTCTGCAACTGTCAGTGCACGTCCCAATATACTGGTCGAAGATACAGAGTTGATGTCTTCCACTAAAGTATGGATTGCCATATTTCCCGATAGTTGAGCTAGTAGATCGAATCCTCTGACAACATAAATGTTCGCCAAAGCCTTTTCTCCACTAACGGTGAACTGATACTGGCTTACCTTGTAGGGTGTTGGGTCTTTGGAGAAGCGAATATCTTGTTACGTCAGTATCTTCGTATGATATCTTTGCGCACACATCTCACCTCTGTAGATCCGGTAGATCTATGCACGTTAACAGACAGACTAAAATGGATTTGGGTGGATACTTACCACGTCCTTGACTGGCAACTCCGGAATTGTCTCGTCTGCTTCAATGATCTTTTCTGATACCTTTTCTGCAAACGTTGTAAAGTCCTGAAATGCCACTCTAAAGTCAGGGTCATGTACTACATAATTGTTAGTCGACCTTTGCACATGATTCCCAAGATGCTTTGAACGAGAAAAGACGAGAAAGATATACTCACGCTTTAGCCAACTTCGATCGTTATTGGCTGCCAATTCTTTCAAAAAGAGTATAGTGTTTGGATGAATCGTGTGGTCCAAGTATGGCGTATCACCTGCATCTCGAGCTTTCGGCTTCTTGATGACTACCCGTGTTCCCGGCTCAAGTTTAGCTCCTGGTTTCCACAACTCTTGCTCATCGGAAATTTTCTTGTGAATAGGAAGGCTCTTGGCAGCGCGCCCTCGTAGTTGATGGTCCTTGCTCTCATCATCTTCGTCGCTGTCAGTCACGTCAGCCTCGGACCCGACAGATGATTCTTTGTTGTCATGATGCTCATAGTCGGAGGCCGCGCCATCTTGTTCGTCTGCACTAGAAGATACTTTTCTTGCTGATTTCTCGTCTGCATCATCTGTGTCGGTGCCTGGATCAACGTAGGATTTCCTTGCAGTCGCCCTTGCCCTCTTTGACTGTCTCTGCGGAGTTTCCTGTGCAGGACGCTTGGAAGAGCTCCTGGGCGCGGTGGATTTGGCTTCTTTGGTCGATTTACGTGGCATTTTACCGTTTCCAAGGATCAACAGAAGTGTGGTAGAGCTACTACAGTAGTTGTAAGTGACTTGGTTTGTTTGTAGGTCGGAGCGCGCACTGGCCATCGATGACGCACACGAACGCGAAAACCCATCGCGGTGTCACGAGTTTCGTCCGCCCTGCCAAACCACGAACCCCTTATAGTCATGGCCACCCGCTTCGCAGCTCGCAAGCAAAAAATACTCGCCCAGCTAGATACTCCCGATGCCGACTACCACGACCTATCGCCAAAGGGCTCTATCGATGCCCCAATTCGAGGCTTGATTGGAGAAATCAACCGCCTCGAAGGTTTTGTCACGACCAGCAGCTGTTCAGGACGCATCAGCGTATTCCTGGAAGGCCGTAAGGCAGAATCTGCTATCGAAGACCTCTCTGTTGAAGGTGGTGACTCACGAGCTGGGCCTGGAGGAAAGGGCGGCGGGGGTGCATGGCTGTTCCTCTCTCATGAACCAGTCCAAAACGTGGATGCAAATCATGACTTTCTGCCTGATTTTGGACTGAAGAAGTCCGAAGCCGATAATGAAGGACCAAACATTTCTAGTAGATACATTCATCTCAAATTCGAGCCTATGGTGAGACTGTTGGTAACGGCGTCATGCACAATCTAACAATTCTTAGATTTTGCACATTTTGACTGCAGCTATAGACGATGCCCAGCATGTCCTCAATGCAGCACTTGCAGCTGGATTCCGTGAGAGCGGTGCTGTAAGCCTTGGATCAACGAAAGGAGAATCAAACCCTATAGTAGCCGTTCGATCAGCCGGTTATTCCTTCGATTCCATCATAGGATACCAGAACGCAAATGGAGACAACATTACTTTGGTGAATGAGAGGTATTTGCAAACTTTAGTATCTATAGCAAACGAGCGCTTCAAGATCAACCTCGACCGAATAACCCGGTTTCGCAATGCACTCCTGGAGACGCAACAACAGAACACTTCACACCCACCTGATTGGGAAGATGCAGATGCCAGGAAAAAGAGGAAGAGAGCAGAAGGCCTTGCACGACAGCAAGCTTTAAAAAGTAACGATGAACAAGACAATCAGAACGAGCTAACAGAAAGGGACCTAGATGGCATTGGTGGGATGTTCTCATGATACCACTAATTGATCTTGTTGATAGTAAGGCAAGCAAACCAGCATCAAAGAAAGGGTTGCAGTGCATATGTCATATGTTCAATGTCACAAGTGCAAATTCAAACATGGTGAATAGTAGACTTTATTGTGACCATTCCTGTAAAACGTACTACATTACCGTGAATGGAGGGTTTTCTCCATACTGTAGAGACCTGAGCGCAATGTCTCCGATTTCCACCCTACCTGCATTTCGTCTTTCCAGGAATCCCCTATTACATGTCAAACCACCTTTTGACCCATTCGTGAAGGAATGTTGCCATAATATGTTTCCGATGCACAGGCACTGTTACGCTTCTCGACCAATGACAGCGTCGGCTTTTTAGCTTAGTTTGTACTTTGACAAGTTTCCGATGCTAGATCCGGCGACTTTTATCCTAGCCCCACTCCATATCACAACTTCACATCTACATATAAAAGGAGCATGCCAGCTCTGTCCTATAGTTTCAATTCGACTATCACACCTCAATCATCTCTGTTTCTCTGACTTAATCGCAATATTGTACTACCCCACCTGCATCCATAGTTTACCTACATTTTCAACATACACAAACAAGCTGTACACCATGAGCCTCGCAGACGCTAACCGTCAATACTTTGAGTATGGTTATATTCGTCTTGTTCCTTCCCCTTGCCATTCAAAATTCTCCCCTATTCTATCTTGACTAATTCCTACAACAATACCTCATCATCTAGCACAAACGTTTCTGACACACTGACAGCTCCATCTCGGATACTTACGATGCCAAACCCTGGTTCGCAACAGTAAACAACCAAGTTGCCGAAGCCCTACGCGGCGATCTGTCTTGGATTGGTATTCCGCCCGCCAATGTTTCCGCAGAAGGACAAGCAAGCGCAGGTACCCAGCAAGTCCGAATGCTGGATTATGCCTGTGGCACGGGATTAATGACGAGGGTATGTCTCTTCATCCCTCATTCCACTCCTCCATCTCCACATTTTCGCTCTCCGATCAATTTTTTTAATTAGTCGAGAAAAAGCGACTACACTGAGACATTCCCTTTACACGCACATACGATTAAAAACAAACGCCCTAAGCCTATCTGACATGCTATAAACTAGATCTTCGCCCCCTACATTACCCACACAACCGCCATTGACATCTCCCCAAACATGATCTCAACTTACACCTCGCGCTTCGCCTCCGCCTTCCCCCAGCCCCTCACCATCACCACCGCGGTCGGCAACCTCTTCGACAAATCCGACCTCAACCCCTCCTCTCTGGACGCACCAGAGTTCCGTGACTTTGACCTCGCAACTGTAGGCTTCGGGCTCCACCACTTCGAAGACGTAGTATATGCTGCGAAGCAACTCAAGGAGCGGTTGAGGCCCGGGGGTGTCTTGGTTATCAATGATTTTCTGGAGGGAGGAGATGTGTTGGCGGATGAAGATGGAAAGCCGGTTGAGGGAAGCCCGGGGAATCATGCTGTGCATCATCATGGTCATGGTCATGGTCATAAGCACGAGCATGGCCACAAGCACGACCACAACCATGAATCTAGCGACAAACACGACTCCAGCCTCCACAGCAAAATGGCTGCTTCAGTGGTGGTACCGCACTTCACCATAGATGGTGTGCGGCAATTCTTCTCGGAAGCGGGTTTCGTCGATGTGGACGTCAAGACTATGAACGAGAAGTCGTACATGGAATTCGGCGGCAAGAAAATGTGGCGAACGATTTTGTTTGCGCGGGGAAGAAGGCCAATGGATGGTAATAACAAGGAAAAGAGTGAGTTGTAAATGCCTCATGCTGCTAGTATGGGGAATTGGCAAGAGATTGCGGAAGGAAGTAGCATAATCATTTCATAGAAATACAAATCTTAGAATGGAAAATATATATGTATCTAGGATATCGAATCTTGCTACCTCAAAAGACACAAAAGAAAAGAAAAAGTATCAAAGAGAAAAGGGCACAGAAAAAGAAAACGCCAAAACCTATACCTCATACTCCTTCCCTAACCTATCCACCCCAACCATCTAAACAGAAAAACAAGAATAACAATGAGCACCTCACCACTTCCCCTTCAATGGCAAATCCCGACTCGAAAACCCAACCTGGATCCCAATCTCTCCCATGGGCAATACCCAATTCTGCCTCTTAACATCCCAATAACTCAAATCGCGTCTCGTAACCTCAAACTGAACCAGCTTTCCCTTCCCCTTCTCAAGCTGCACCTTCTCAAACCCACGCAAGACACGAACAGGGAAATCCACCGGCTCGCCCGTCTCGTGATCCTTGTAGTCTTGGGGGAGGGAAATATACAGTTGGACGACGGAAGCGCCGTCTAGGGGGCCTTTGTTTTCGAGAGAGGCGGAGACAGTGAGGAGGATGGTGTAGAGATCCGGGTTGCCGCCTGGGCCGCCGCCTGCGTCGCTAAGTGGGGAGGATGGAGGTTGAGGCTGTGGGGGTCCGGATTTCTTGATGCCTTTGGTTGAGTCGAGCCAGGGGTAGATGTATTGTTCTACTTTGTTAAAGCCTTCAGGGAAGAGTACCGACTCTGGGTCTGGAAGGACGGTGGAGTAGGTTGGGGGTGTGAGGCCATCTGGTCGAGGCTTGGGTAGAGGTGTTTTTGCGCTCTTTTCTTCGATCATGAGGGAAGATAGCTCGAATTGTGTATATGAGAGACCGTAGCCAAACTCGAATCGGGGAGTGATGTTCTGCTTGTCGAAATAGCGGTAGTCGATATATAGGCCTTCGGTGAAATCTTGCTGAGGTGCAAGTCCGTCGGATGGACTTGGAAGATACTTGACCTTGCTGCCTGGACCAAAGTCGTCTTCCTTCTTAGCAATGGTGTAGGGTAGACGACCAGATGGGTTGACGTCGCCAAACAGTACATCCACAATGGCATTTCCAGACTCCGTACCTGGAAGGTGGGCAATGAGTACTGCCCTGACGTTCATGATGTCGATGAAATCCTCTAGGATGACAGATCCAACCGTGTGGATGACGACAACGACGTCGCCCATACCTTCTCCACAGTCTTTGGCAACATTTCTGATGAGCTCGGCACCGCCTTTTTGCAGATTGAGATCATTTCTGTCGCCTCGGATGTTTCCGTAGTGCTCATATCCTTCTCCTGAATCAGCGTTGGCGAAAACGATGCAAAGGTCTTGATCTTCGAGAATCTCCTTTTGGTTGGGGAGCTTGTTCTCCAACCAGTCTGTTACGTATACGGTCTCATTGTCAAACGCCTGTCTGATGGCAGATACGGGCTCGACCAGATACGAAAAGTTGACGGCACCGGAACCCCAACCTGAAGCCAAGGTCCCCTCGTTGCAGCTTTGATCAGGGCAGTGGTTGATGCCGTCGTGGGGGAGACGTGCATCTTCACCAAAAACGCCGACACGGAACTTTGCCTTGGCCTTTCCGTCGGTCTTCCAACCTTTGCGGTCTAGTGGCAGCATGTTGCCATCATTCTTGACCAAGACTGTACCTTCAGCTGCAACGCGACGCACCAGGTGTCCATGAGCTTCTTTTCCCTCTCCTTGAGCGTTGACGTACTGGTTGACCACACCCATTTCGTGATTCGAGGGGCTGCCTTCATGTAGTTTACCGATACGGTCGTTGGTCCAGGAAGAAAAGTTTGGCCCATCATTTTCCCACTTGTCCTGACCGACTTGGTACCAGGACGCTACGACACGAGTAACCATATCATCGACGCGATCAATGGGTACACTGCCGTTGAGAACTGATTTGGTGAGCTCTGAACCCCATAGACTGTTACCCTTGGCCCATCTGAGGCCATCTCCAGGCATGGTCATGTCCAAACCCGCCAGGGCGCTCGCCACACCCGAACGTTGCGCTAACCAGTCGCTCTGAACGAACCCCTGGAAACCAAGTTCGTCTTTCAAAATTCCGTTGAGCAGCTTCGAATTCTGGCAGGCATAGCTGGAGTTTACCTGGTTGTATGAACACATGATAGATGTTACACCTGCTTTGACCGAGTCGGCGAATGGCCATGCATAGATTTCATGTAAGGTGCGGTCGTCGATGTTGCTGGAGATGGCATTCGGCAGGCCCCACTCCCACGCCTGTCTGAAGTGTTCCTGTTCGTTGGCAATATAGTGTTTTGCGGTAGCCATGACGCCCTCGTCTTGGATGCCTTTGATAGTCGCGGCCGCTGCAATGCCTTGGAGCACGGGGTCTGAGCCGAATCCTTCCCAAACACGACCGCCAGCAGGCATTCGGCCGAGAGGGCCCATTGCAGGACCAAGTAGAACGTTGACACCTTTCAGTCGTGCCTCCTTGCCATGCGCTTTTCCGCGCAGGTAGAAGAGCTCCTTACTCCATGTCGCGCCAGTGGTGATGCCTGCAGGGAAGCCGGTAATGTTGTCAGCAAATCGAATTCCCAGAGGACCGTCCTGAGTAAAACGTTAGTGCATGTGGAGTGCTGTCTTTGGGGTGGTGCGTACCTGAAGACATAGACTGGGGAACTTTAACCTATCCACACGGCCAGTCTGGCCCACACAAAGATCCATGCTCCACCCTGTGCCGGTGGTAATGTTAACCTTCTCAGGTAGTGTCATCTGCTTGACCAGTTCAGCAGCCTTCTTGTAGCTCTCCTCCCATGCCTTGTCTGTTCCGCCCTTTGGCGAGGGGTACCACGGCGGACTGCGACCATCCTCAGGCACCGACACCTTGTATGCCCAAATTCCTCCCGAAGCCAGTAGCAAAACAGTAGCGGCGATAAATACGAGCAGCCAGCAGCAACAGCGGCCTGGTGCGCATTTGGATCTTCGTTGTTGGGTAGGGAATGGCGTCACGGCCTCGGTGTCTCGGTACGATGCTTTCCGGACCTTGAGGTCGCCGGCACTCTTCTTTCGTTTCAACTTGCTATCGAATGCGAGGGGGTCGTGTTCTTCGAGATCTTCCAGGGTCTCGTTGGACTCGGAGGAGAATCGCGTTGGGGTTTCAAGGTCATCGTCCACGGGTGCATCGAGCTTCGCGTACTTGCCGCGACGCAACTCGTGGGCTTCGTAGGGAGCCATTTTGTTGATAGAAGCGTGTCAATCCAAGAGGAGCAGCAGAGAAAAAGGAATATGTGGTGTTGCACGCGGCGGGGAAGGTGAGGCTATGGCAAACGGCGCGAGCGTGAAGCCCTGTTTATATTGAAGCTAGCATTGAAGCGTGTATATGTTTGCAGCAGCAGTTGGGTACAGTGATGCCGCCGATGCAGATGTGAGCGAGCGGAGACGATATCTGGTAGGACAATGAGTGTGGAGCAGAAGACAGCGCCGTCGACGTGGTGCGAGACAGTTTCACTCGGCGTCCGGCGTGTACTGGGGCCGGCATGTCGCCCTGCCCTGACTAGCCGCCGCCGTCGTCGATCCCATGGGTCCGCTCCCGCCCCTCCCATGTCCAATTGCGCAACTCTATTCATTCACCAACACCAACACACGTCACTGACTGACTGACTGACACCCTTGCACTGCGTTTGGCACCTTTTCACGAAAAACTCGATGGTGACGAGCGACATTTACATCGTTTCTATTTTCGACTACTGTTTGCTGGCTACCCCGTATCAGGTCGCGACTACTGACATTTACGCGCCAACCTGGTTCAGGATACCCTGGAGGTTGATGGACTTGGGGCGCTCGATGGGCAGACCCAATGCCCTGTCCCAGATGAGTTGTGCAAGAGGACCGAGACCACGGCTGACACCGAATGTTGCAGTGTAGTACAGAGTCTCCTTGAAGCCGTAGTGGTGGAAAAGGACGCCTGAGGACGAATCGACGTTGGGGTAGGGGTTCTTGGTCTACGACAAAGTTAATCACTGTTCATTCTCGATACCGTGATCGCTTACCTTTCCGTGCTCGGTAAGCACACCAGGAGCAACCTCCGAGTTCTTCTTTACAAGCTGGTAAACTGGGTCTGCTGCAATCTCAGGTCGTGCATTCGCAAAGTCCATGAGCGCCTCGAATCGCGGGTCAGGCTTCCTGAGCACAGCGTGACCGTAACCAGGGATGACTCGCCCAGACTTGAGAACGCTCCAGAGGAAGTCATTGACGTCCTTTTCACTAAAGTTGTTGCCAACCACCTTTTGCATGTCGAGGATGAAGCGCAACACCTCCTGGGCAGCCAGGCCGTGCAGTGGTCCAGCAAGACCTTGAAGACCGGCGCTGTAGCTCAGGAAGGGATCACTGAGCGCCGAACCGACGAGATGTGTGGTGTGTGCCGAGACGTTGCCACCCTCGTGGTCGCCGTGCAGAGCGAGGTACAACCGGAGAAGGTCTTGGAAGCCCTCGTTCTCCTTGCCAGACTTGCCCAACATGGCTGCGAAGTTGTAGGACCAATCCTGGTTCAGATCGATCTCGTTGGGGAGCGCACCTCCACCACGGTATGCGTTCTGGTAGATCTTGGCGGCAATGGTAGGCAGCTTTGCGAGCAGGCTGATGCAGTCGTCAAAGGTAGGCTCCCAGTAGTCCGCCTTGTTGATGCCCTTTTCGTATGCTTTAGCAAACTTGGACTCGTAGTTGAGGGCTGAGACAGCGCATGCGAATTGTGTCATGGGGTGGAGGTCCTTGGGGAAGTCATCCAGCATCTTCTCGACGAACTTGGGAATGCCACCCTTTTCGGCCAGCTCTCGCGAAAGCGCACGAGTCTGTGATACTGATGGGACCTCGCCAGTCAGGAGCAGCCAGAACATGGCCTCGGGAAGCATCTCAGTGCCAGACGTTCCCTTGGGTAGCTCCTTTTGGCAGTCCTTGATCGTCTTGCCGTGGAATCGGATACCCTCGTTTGCGTCGAGAACTGATCCTTCCCAGACCATGGCCTTGAGGCCCCTTTGCTGTTGTCAGTACACGCTGCTTATTTCCCTAGGATGCATACCTCATGCCGCCCAGCGCATTCTCGACCTTGACGTCACCGAGCTTCTTATCGCCATGTGCCTTGACCTTTTTCAACAGCTCACGCTTTGCGGGGAGAACCTTTTTGAAAGTCTCTTTGAGATCCGGCTCGGATGAGGATGAATAGCTACATGCTTGTACTGGAGGAAGTGATATATATCAGCATCTTGACAGGTGGAACAGAGGGCCGATTAGCATACCAGCCGCAAAAGGACGCGCCTGAGAAGCTTCAGTTAGTTTTTTTCGCTTCCAACACTATCAGTTAGACAGCCCAGAGCTTACCTTGGCCGCTCGTAGAGCTCTGGCAGCAGATCGTGCACTCAATGCCATGGCTAGTCTAGTGTGGGGTAGGCGCGGGGAATGGCAGTCTGATAGTCTTCACTCAACCCAGGGACAAGAGTGTTCCACAAGCTCAATGGCAAAAACACGACTTGATACGAGGGGGACAGAAAAAAGTTGCACGGCACTGCTCGGTAGTCGAGTCGGATTTTCCTGACACGCGCTGGACCATTCCTGCGAGTGCGACGTACAATCCATGGACCGAGGGGCAGCGCCGAGCGGCTAGCGGTGGGCTACCTCGGTTCTGGCGCCGGGCATGGGGAAATGCTGGAGAAGTGTTGCCGTGCACAAACAACTTCGCTGCTCCGCTTCTCACGGCCCAGTAACGTCATTGCCTGCGCTTAGAGACAGCTTCTAGACCCTCAGAAAAGGTGACAAGGCGAAAAGAGTGGCAACCGCTGTTCCCCAATTGCCTGCAGCCCACGGATAATTTTCCGTTGCTCATCTCTTCCCCGCGACTCAAGTATACAGCGAGCTCCTGCTAGGTTGCGCCTCGCTCCAATTCACACATACTCACCATGCTCCGTACAGTACCGCGCTCTGTCGCGCGCCAGAGCCGATCATTAAGGGTAGCGAGCCCATCGCGACAACTCCTCCGTCCGCTCTCCACCACCGTGTACCGCATGTCAAGCTCCGTGCTGAAGCCCGTGGTCCCCCCAGTGTCGACAGCCCTTCCAGGAGATTCTTTCCAGCTGTTATCTGAGGCTGCAAAGGCAGGTGAGGCCGAGGATGCTCTTTTCGAGGAACAGGTACAGGCCGTGAAGAAGTGGTGGTCATCGCCACGGTACAAGGGCATCAAGCGCCCATATTCTGCAGAGGATGTCGTGAGCAAACGCGGAACGCTTCCTCAATCATACCCTAGCTCCTTGATGGCAAGGAAGCTCTTCAACCTACTCGAAGAGCGGGCAGCAAAGGGCGAGCCAGTACATACCAGTGCGTTTACCCATGGCTATATAGATAGAATAATGGCTGATTCTGTGTCTCCGGACATTAGTGGGTGCAATTGATCCAATTCAAATGTCCCAACAGGCTGCGAACCAAGAAGTCCTTTACGTCTCGGGATGGGCATGCTCATCCGTCCTGACCACCACGAACGAAGTCTCTGCCGACTTTGGCGACTACCCATACAATACCGTTCCAAACCAGGTGCAGCGCTTGTTCAAGGCACAGCAACTGCACGACCGCAAGAACTGGGATGCTAGGAGAAAGATGACACCAGGGGAAAGGGCAAAGACCCCGTATCTGGATTATATGCGTCCCATCATTGCCGACGGCGATACTGGGTGAGCAGACATGGAACCATGCAGGTCTAGATAGGCTATTGACAGCGGATAGACACGGCGGCCTCTCGGCGGTCATCAAGCTTGCCAAGCTCTTTGCAGAGAACGGCGCTGCAGGAGTTCATTTCGAGGATCAATTGCATGGTGGCAAAAAGTGTGGACATCTTGCAGGCAAGGTGCTTGTCCCCGTCGGCGATCACATCAACCGCCTGGTAGCCGCACGATTCCAATGGGATATGATGGGCTGCGAAAACCTCGTCATTGCACGTACAGACTCGGAGAGCGGCAAACTCATCTCTAGCGCAGTTGATGTACGAGACCACGAATTTATCAAGGGCGTTACAGAGGACACGGAGCCACTGGCTGAGACTCTGCAAAATATGGAGGCGGCCGGTGCGCCAGGCAAAGAGATTGATCAATATGAGGCGGCGTGGGTGAAGAAGCACAAGCTTGTCACCTTTGACGAGGCCGTTGTTCAGCACCTTGAGAAGGAAGGCGCCTCCCAGCCGTCAATCGACGCCTACCTCGACGAGATGAAGCAGAACCCCAACTTTTCTCTCCTCAAGCGCCGACAAGCGGCAGAAAAGTACACAAAGACACCCGTCTACTTCAACTGGGACATTCCACGCACAAGGGAAGGTTTCTACCATTTCAAGAATGGAGTTGCAGCAGCCACAAAGCGCGGCAAAGAGTATGCACCCTACGCCGATCTCTTGTGGGTTGAGACGGGTGATCCCAACGTCCAAGAGGCAGCCAGATTCGCCGGCGAGATCCGCGCTGTTTACCCGGGCAAGAAGTTTGTGTACAACCTTTCGCCCAGCTTCAACTGGATGGGCCATGGCTTCTCCGAAGAGGCACTCAAGTCCTTTGTGTGGGACTTGGCAAAGCACGGTTTTGTGTTCCAGCTCATTTCGTTGGCCGGAGTACACTCTACAGCGACAATCACATGTGAGCTGAGCAGGGCCTTCAAGGATGAGGGTATGCTGGCGTATGTGAAGCTAGTACAAGCGCGAGAGAAGGAGTTGGGCTGTGATGTTTTGACCCATCAGAAGTGGAGCGGTGCTGGGTACATTGACGGCATCCTGGGCGCGATACAAAGCGGAAGCTCAGGCAGTAAGAGCATGGGCGAGGGCAACACGGAGACTAGTTTTTAAGATTCGAAGCGCAGGGACTGAGTACTGCGAGAGAATAAACAAAAAAGTTAGTACATGACACAAGTGAGGTGCGATCAAATGTGTCGACTGGAGTTACTTGACCAAAAAGGAAAAGCCAAATCTGGGGCTCTTGCCTCGGCCCAGCCGTCTTTCCCGAGCACCCATCATCATCATCGCCCGTGACAACGCGCTGACCTCTCCTTGACATACACACCGAACACCTCAACGCCGTGTCGCAGCCATGTCGGGAAAGCCTGGAATACCAGAATGGCAACGCGCCTCCTCCTCTTCCACTGCTTCTACTACTTCTACTAATGACACAACTTCCTCTCAGAAGCCAGAAGAGGAAGAAGAAGCAAGCGCGCAACAACAGCAACCACAACAACCACATGCAGAAGCCCCCACACCAACCGAAGACGATGTCGCACAGCCAGAGGAGGAAGAGCAGCAAGCTTCTGAGAGCAGCAGTCTGTTAGAGCAGGCTGCGCGTTTCCTTGATGACCCAACAATTCGCGATGCGCCCCGGGAGAAGAAGGTGGCGTTCTTGGAATCAAAGGGGGTGAGTGCCGAGGATATTGGGAGGCTATTGGGTGACGAGGAACCGGAGAGAAGGCCAATTGAGGTTGAGGATGTGAGCGAGCGGGCGTGGTCGACGGTGAGTACTGGCACTGCACCAGAATGTCGAAGACAGGCGATGCTAACGCTTTCAGACAACTCCAAAGCCTGCGCCTGTACCCGAAGTTCAAATCCAGCCCCGCGAAATACCCCCAATTGTCACATATCCAGAGTTCCTCGCAAGCACTGAGAAGCCGCCACCTCTTATTACGACCGAACGCCTTGCGGCCACAGCATACATAGCAGGAGGTTTCATGGCAACCATGTATGGACTGTCAAAGTACATCATAGCCCCCATGACACACGGACTTGCAGAGTCACGGCGCGATTTTGCATCTCATACAAATGAGCAGTTGAAGGAGCTCAACGAACGACTACGTAAAGCAGTATCTGTCGATCCCGCAAGCAAAGTAAAGCCTATTGAAGACGGCGCAGACAATGTCTCTGAAGCCGACTCTGATCCCACTGAGCTTTACCACCGCGACTATGGAACCCAGACTACACCCAATCTCTCCCGCCGACCTTCTACCTCTACCGACCCCCACCCGACTGTAACAGCACAGGAGAACCGCCTCAAGATTATCAAATCACACCTCCAGGAACTCGAGTCTCATAACTCGGGTCAGGGTACATCGCGAGACAGACTGAGAACAAAGATCTCGGACCTGACTACCTACTTGACCGAGATGGACTATCAAAACCAGTACTACCCTACCATGGGTCGCTATGGAGCGACATTCAATTGGACTGGAAGTTCCTCAGAGTCTAAGAACGACCAGATTGAGGTGCTGAAGGGCGATATTAGGGCTGTCAAGGGCGTGTTTTTGAGTGCTAGGAATTTTCCGACTGGCGGCAGGAATGCAACGCCTATACCCACAGGGAGAGTAGGGTCGTAATATTGTATCATGAAATTATATAATATGTATTGTTGAGAGACGGATATTTCTTTTTTGATGAGAGCTGTGTATATTCGACTTTGTTGTAAATGATGTCTAAAGTGGTCTATGCCACTTGCTACTTTTCACCTCGATCTTTTGGTGGACTTGGATACTGGGGAAAACCAGCCCCCAGCGAGACAGTGCAACATTGATGAGATGCAGCCATACGGCAACGTTGTGGATTATGCGCTTTGAAATTGCAGTGGATATACCTACATACTGAATTCATGCACTGTTGTATACGTCGTTAATAACTTTGAGTATGTAGTGTGAAAAGTGGTGGTGGTGGCATTGACACTTGGTTTTGGTTAGAGCTAGTTTTGGTGAGGATTGGTTTTCCCCAATGTCAAGTCCACCAAGAGATAGATTTCGCGAATATATTATATTTAACTTCACAATCTGGTACATACGACCACAGAAAACTGAAATTTAGGCATCCCGTCCGATCTGCCCTATACAAGCAGTTTATCGGCGGATTAGTAGTCAGGTGGGTGACCACTGGCGAATCCCCGCTGTCGTATGTTATTTTGTTTTTGCATCTTTTCTTTTTCGTCCAGCTTTCCCAAGTCACGTGTGTATGAGGTCTTGACAAACCGAATTCCTTTTCTGAGTAGATAGGCACCTTCTTCACCCAGGCCAATCCTAGCGATTAGATTTCAGCTTGATTGCAAATCTAGCTATATATTATGATTCATCTCTAGAGGGGTTTTATGTTAGAAGAATCTAAGAATCTAAGAATCAAAGAGTGTTAGGTTGACTTATCAATCGGAGGTTGTGTAGAATGTCTTGCTGGGACATGCAGCTTGTTTTATCCAGATTGGGAATTGGTGTAACTAGTAGTTAATCAAAAGGAAGAACAAGAAAGATTCTTCGGTACCAAAACTTAAAAACTTCGTGCACGTCTCTAAAATCGAAAAAAAAGGTTTGTCGCTAAATTGTTCTTCAACAATCAGATGTTCTTTTTAGTTTTGGATAAGGAGAGATTTGAACTCTCGACCTTGCGG